TCATTAAGATAGAAAATTTACTTAAACATAATTATTGGCCATGAGAGTTTTCTAAAATGAGCCTCTTCTATTATGGGAGTTTATGCATAGAAATCAATTCCTAAGCAAATTTTAATCCCAAATAATGAACCGACTATTAGGACAGGTTTTGTCCTGCAAATTTGCATTACAATTTACAATCCATGTTACAATGCATGTAACCAAGAAAAGGATCTTCTTACTTTGTTGAGGATTCTAAGTTTCCTAAAGCATATTTTTCAAGGATCACTGAGCCAATGAGTTTGACTAGAGAGAACTGAAGGGGTGACATGGCTCAAAGGTTAATCGTTTGTGATTTAAGATAGAAGTCAAGCTCTTGGTGTTGGTGGTATAACGGAGATCGACATGTCATTATTATGAACCACCACACGATCTGTTTTGCAAGTGAAATTGAGATTTACATCATGAAATTTCATTTGAAGATGTCATTCTAAGCCAAGCAAAAGACCTTGCAACTATGACTGTGGTTAAAGTAGGAGTGGTGGCTAGTTATAATATTGGAACAGGACTTGTGGTTGCATGTAGAGAAAATGCTTCTTGGTCTCCACATGTGTGGAATGGGAGGCTCGGGTGCAGTAATTAATCTATAGTCTGTACAGTGTTAAACTAACAATTTTAAACTTAAAATTATAATGCTAATTATGTTATATGATATGAATTGACGTCCAAGGGTGTATTTGGGTTAAAGTTCGTTGAACATTACTCAGTTTTTACCAATCCATCAGGCATCAGCCTTGTTGCTTCTCCAATTTGTGCTTTGGAAAATAGAAAAAGGTTTTGGTGTGTCTGAAAGGCAATCCAAACACACATCAAGCTGGTAATGGTGTGTGTTCTGCAGCTTCTTCTTGCCATACGTGCAGATAAAGTAGAGGTACATATGTTATTTGCGATCATTTAGAATACTGAGAACCTTTGTGTTGTCATGAACAGTCTGCAGTTTCTCTCTATTTTTTCAACAAACAATTTCTTAGTCTGTCAGTTTACTATGTAGGATCGGTTATGACTATTTTTTTTTTCATGAATTACCAATAAATGCATATTTGAATTGGATTGGCTGTATATTACTCCCACACAGGTCATGAAAATTGCAGTAATGGAAGATGATATTATCTATTTGATGTATATTTTTTTATATATATACTAATGAAATCGATGCATGTGACATATTTTGTTTAAAAATAATATAAAATAAAAAATAGAAATAATAAAAATTATAATATATAGATTAAGTCAGATAATGTATGATTAAAAAAATAAAATAATCTTAATTAAATAAAAGTGGTTGCAAAATAAGATGGTATTATTATTGATAAATTGAACAACAATTAATTTTTTATATACATTTTTTTTCTATTTTACCTTTAAAAGATACAATGATAAAAAATAATAATATATAATAAAGAGATATAAATACCTAAAAATATATAAAAATTAAAGGGAGTTATCTCCTTTATATATAACATAAATATAGAAATTGTTATTATGAACTGTGACACAGAAAAATACATATGGAGTATATAGTTTGAGGTTTCTATTCAAGATTTTTTTAGGAAGGAAGAATGTTACTAATACACTCTTTTGAATCACTTTTATTATTATTATTATTATTATTGATTGAAGTTTATTATAAAAAAAATAGTAAATCTTATCTCATATTTAATGAACTTGTTTTATGATTTTATAATTTTTAATAAATTTTAACTAAAAATAAAACGTGTTTTAAACAAATTATATGTGTGTGTGAGGTATTTGAAAAGAATGAAATGTCACACTATTTATAATTAGGAAAGTATAAATGTTTATATATTAAAGTGTCTTACATTTTTAAAAGACGAATAAGAAGTGAAGTCGCTTGCATGATAATGAACTTCATATATTTGTTGCAGTGCAAATCCTCTATTTTTTCACCAAAGACTAAGTCACAAAATGTGTCTGATATCAATTTTATTTTTATAGAGTTATTCTAAATTAAGTCTATAAATATTTCATGATTTTTTTGTATAATCACTTGTGATGTTTATTGTTGAGACTAAAAATCTATCTTACACTACATGAACTAAAAAATAATTAAAAAAAAAAGATAAATATAAAATTAAAAATATTCATTTTTAAAGTGTAGAGTAAAAAATAAAAGAAAAGAAAGCATAATGACTTAAAAAGTATTTTATGAATAAATAAAATGAGAGCAGGTATAGTGAATGGCCATATTTTGGAAGGACACGTACAGCACTTTGTTTTGTGTTTTGTGGTCCAGATCATTTACGTTGAATGGTCCAGATACTTAGTTTTTCATTCAAAGTAAAATGAGATTATATATGTTGGTCCATCTACGGAGTAGGGGGAAGACAAAAGTTGCCATGTATTTTCTCTTGTTAACATCTATGTCTTTTCATACTATATTCTGCATCCATCTCTATATCATAAAAATAATTGAATATTATTATTATTATTTTTCATAAATTACAAAAATTGAGCACATGTTACTTAGAAAATAGTGGAGAGACACATTATAGTAAATTATCTAATAATTTCTATTTTAAAAGACTTTACTTTACTTAAAAGATAATAAAGGAACTTTATAAATGAAGAAAATAAAAGAAAATCATTTTCCTTATTTTCTTTTTTACATTTCAATGTATTTAAATAAAAGTTGTGTGACTGTTCCCAATTTATTGATTTTTTCTAGTTTTATTTATTATTTCAAATTATAATCTCATCAGCTCTATTTTAGGATTTCAATAATCATACTTATTTATTCTCCTAATTAAATAAATTTAATAAAAAAAATAATAACATAATAAATAAATCATTTATATATTTTACTTCTAAGACCAAAAAAAAAAAGTGTTAACAATTTGCTAGTTTGCATGGAATTGAGCTTGAATTTTTTAAGTAAAATAAATTTTTATTAAATTCAAATTTTTTAACAGACATTAATATTTGACAAATTGATATAT